CAACTTAGTGAAAGTAATGTGTTGTTTTATGTAACATTTGTTATATGAATTTTGTAGAAAATCTTTTAAAAAGAGAAACTAGGAGATAAAAACCACAGATGCGGAAGGGGAAGAGGAAGGGGTAAGTGAAAAGATTGATTGCTATAAGAAATAGAACCAAGCGTTACTAAAATAGTAATGATGACCCTTTACATAATGAGATATCACGTGAGACCGACTTATCGCGATTCATTTAATTATACTTGGGCTAAGTGATTGACCGACTTAGCGCTTATCATGACTTTATATAGATTGACCGACTTATCGAATTTTTTTAAATAGTAAAAAAACGGGGCGAAAATTTTTGGCCGAGTTAGGCCAAAACCGACTTATCGAATGACCGACTTATCAAGTTTACATATGTAGTAATGCAAAATTAACGGATTATTGTGTTGTAACAGATAAGGCCTTAATATTAACGGGTTATAACACTATTACTATTACTATATTAAAATCAATGATATTTGAAAAGGTTGCATTATTTTCATAAAAGCGTAACCATTTTTAATATTAATTATTTCTTTATAAAAATTCTTTTTTCTGGAAAAAAAAAGATTGCAAGCCAATTATAGGTAACTAAAATTCTGAAATGTTTTGAGAAATAAAGCGTTATATATTCTATTGAATATATATGCTTGTCTAGCAACCAGACGAAGTGGATATATATTTGATCCGTCCTTGTCAAAAAAAAAACCAATTATAATAATATTAGTACTAATATGTTACAAATTCCGTACCTTATATGCAGAATTAAAACGTACCTTTTCATATTCAGTATGTTGCAAATTCCGTGCCTTATTTTTTTTACGGAATCAAAAAGTACCTTTTCAGTATTAGTATTAGTATGTTGCAAATGCCATACATATTCTGTACCTTATATGCGAAATCAAAAAATACCTTTTCAGTATTAGCATTACTATTACTATCACTATTACTATTGTTAATTTAACTGATCTGCACCATATGCGGACGATTTCCAGGTAGGTCTGACCTTTATCCCTGTGTTCAGAGGGATACAGCTTTAGCCTGGCTAGGGATAAATATAAATGCACGGATATATCTGATCACGGTCCGTAGATCTTGAGTGAATTATCCAAAGATCGATAAGGTTGATAAGGGGGGGATATCCTCTCGAACTGAGGGATAAAGGTGTATGTAACCTTTTGGAAATTGTCCGCATGGGCTGCTAATAATAATAATAGAAAAAAATATAAAATATGTTAAAAAATTGTCAGAGTTGCATGGGAGGAAAATACTTGGACCAAAGTCATTGCAAGCATTACCTATTCTTTGAGCACTCTGACAAAAATCTAACTTTCACTATTACTACTATTATTATTATTATCAATAATATCATTGTTAATATTCACATTATTGTTGTTTTCATTATCTTTTTCATCTTCACTCTCTACCTCCTTCATCTTTTCTTTCTCAACACACTGTTGAATTGCTTCTATCATTTTGCTTCTAGGGTTTGTTTTTCATTGATAGAAATTTTTAACAATAGAAGCAGCAACTTTTTTCTCACCAAATAATTCATATAATTCATAAATTTCTATGGCCATTTCACCAAATGAAAAATTGGGATTCAACCCAGTTGTTTTGTCAAATAATTGCTTGAAATCCTTTCATAGATTTCTATTTCTTGTGAATATTGTTTATCACTAGTAAGTTTGTCTGATTTATTTTTGAATTGACTTTTTCTTGGTTCTATTTTATTGATTATTTGATCAATTTTTCAATTTATGATATAAAATTGATTTTTGCAAGTTTTATAATGAAATAAGAAACCAAGGAAAACTCCAATTAACAACTTTCAAAAAATTCACCATTGAATGTAAGCATTTTTTTTAAAAATGTTATTTGTTTTTTTTTAAACCAAAATAAAATTGTCGATGGTGATTATTAGAAGGATTTGTTATTTACCTGAAAATTAAGTGGATTGGTAATGTTTTTATAATGTTCCAATACAAGGTGGGATTATTTACCTTGCTTCAACTTCAATGAGAGAAAAACAAAAATTTATAAACATATCCTCGAATGTAAAATTTGTTCAAACAAAACCATTTTTTTATTGATAAACAATGCAATTTATGATTATTTACCTTCTAAGGATTTCTGCTTTTTATTAGGTAATAATGCATCATCATGATGCTTTCTTTTTCTAACATTTATTATTTTTCTTTCTTCTTGATAAACTTCATAGGTAATCCCTTCTTTGTCTAAATATGTTTGTAAAGATTTGATATCTGCTAATTTAAAAATGTAAGGAGCAATTTTTTCACCTTGTTCTTTCCTCAGAATACTTCTAATGGTGCTATAATTCTTGGGTTCCATAGTAGATATGATGTAAATTAACTTCATATTAACTATTTTTATATAGAGGTAATTCTATATATCAAGAAAAAACAAATATAACAAATGGGGATTTTAATAATCACATTACTAAATTTTGATCCCTGAAATTCTCAGCAATATAAATGTTCACTTTGTCTGGTTTTGTTGCAGCATGCCCCATATACAGTCAAATCTCATTTCAATAAATATATGGTAGAGTTTCTGTTTGTAATACAATTTTTTATTTAAATTATTCATAATACAATTTAACCTTGATTCAAATTTATTTGTCCTCGTTCACATCCAATTTTCAAAAAGAATACAATGTTTTCATGTTGATGAGTTCAACAAAGTCATCTAGGATTACTCACTCATTCCAATTACTGTTGAAGAAGATGAAAGGCGACCAACAGAAAGTTCAATAAGGAATTGGTATCAATAATCCAATCATTAATTGGATCATTGAATGAAGCTAACCATCCATAGCTCAAGAGACTAGCAACAAAGAAAAAAGATGGCTTATTGTTGATTTTACAACAAGTTAAAGATCTTCACAACAAAACAGAATTGATTTGACTATTACTGTATTATTATTCATTCACAATTTAATTCTTGTTTTTGTCATCCTGAACCTTGATTCTATTTCCTCTCTCATACATGCGCATAAATAAAATTTGAAATATAATTATGTATAAGATTCTTATTGATGATAATGCTAAATAAATGTAGGAATCATAAATTATCCAAAAAAAATTTTTTGAGATTGCCCAAATTTTTTATGCAGATCCTCTAATTCTGATATGCCATTCAAATGATAATAATAAGACGAAAGATTTTTGATTAGTAAGTACCGTGGATTTTTAACGTTTACTTGTTTCTACGTTGATTATCGTTTTTTGCAAAATAACCAAAATAATTTCTAAATTTGATTCGTGCGCACAGACTAAGCATTATTTTATTGTTACAGCCCAAGTGTTTTGAAAAGAAGTGAGTGATAGGATTTATCTTTATTTTTTGGTTCCTCGTGATCGCCTAATGATGATGTAATATTACTATCATTTACTTGCCATCACTATCACTCACTTACTTATGATTTCATTATTATTAATACATAAAACTACCATATTCAGCGCCAATTGTATAAAAGTAACTTATTTAGATTTAGTTAATGACACAAATATTTAAATGTAAAATTTAATATTAACTTAATCTTCGATCTGAATAAAATCTACCGATATACCAAATAGTTTAAATTGTATCCGTAAATAGTGTTGATCATCAACGTACCGATAAAAGATAAAAAGATTACCCTGAGAAAAAAAATTTTAACTATTTTTTTTTTCCTTTAAATTAAAAATTTAAAAGTTTAAAAAGAATGTCTTCGCAGAATGTTGAAAATCCGGAAGTTATTATGAAAGAAGAAATAAATCGTGTTATGGAAGATGTTGATACTACTGTACACGAATTTGACCCTGACGCTCCTCCTGAAGTAAAGGCTAAACAAGTTCAAGAGAGTAGCGGTGTTGATCCTGCTGCTGCTTCTAGTAGTAAAACTACAGGAGTTATTGAGGGTGATACTACTAGTGCGAACCTTCCTGGAGCTTTACCTCATTTAGCAGTAGAGTCTGCTTCTGAAATTCCAGAATGGGCACGTATCGGTTGGAAAAATATTGTGGAACTTGATTCAAAGGCCCCAGAAAAAGTATTTTATGATGAAATATTAGGAGAAATGTATTTTGGTCAGCTTTGGTTAAATGCAGCTGTTGTTTTTGTCGCAGTATTTTCCACTTATTTTGTCACATTATTTGGTGGTGGGCTTGGTTGGGTTCTTATAATTTGTGCTTTTGTTGGTGAGTTATTTTTAGTATCAGCAAAAATTTGAAATTTAAAAATCAATTTTAAAAAATCAATCAATTAACAAATAAACAAAAATTAATCGATCATCACTTTAGCTACATATTTCAGAAACTCGGTTCGAAGATTTCATCGTAACGCACGTAGTGATATTGCACGTGAACTTGCAAAAGAAAAATTGGAAACTGATTCAGAAACAACCGAGTGGATAAATGAATTTTTACATCGCTTTTGGATGATATATGAACCAGTATTATCAGCAACAATTGTACAAATCGCTGACGGTATATTATTATCATCGACACCTTCATTTTTAGATTCTATTCGCTTGACAACTTTTACTTTAGGATCAAAGGCTCCTATTATAGAATCTGTTAAATCTTATCCAAATGCTGAAGATGATATTGTGGTAATTAGTTATTTTATAATAATAACAATAAAGAATTTGTATTAATGATTTAATTTTTGAAAAGATCATGGATTGGAGAGTTTCATTTGTTCCAAACGATATTGCCAATATGACTAGAGCTCAATTAATCAAAAAAGTTAATCCAAAGATTATCCTCACTATTCGCGTTGGAAGAGGAATGGTAGGAGCTGGGCTTCCAGTCTTATTGGAAGATATATCTTTCTCCGGACTTATGAGAATCAAATTGAAGTTGATGAATACATTCCCTCATGTAAAAACTATTGGTTTGAGCTTCTTGGAAGAACCAAAAATTGATTATGTTTTAAAACCAATTGGTGGCGAAACTTTTGGATTTGATATTGCCAATGTATGTATGTTTGGTTATATTGACTTTTTCGTCATATTTTTTGTAATTTATGATTATTGACACACATACATATGTACGTGTTTCTTAAAGATTCCTGGTTTATCTGACTTCATTCGTAATCAAATTCATGCTAATTTACGCCCAATGATGTACGATCCAAATGTGTTTGTTTTAGATGCTGAGTCTTTGGTTGGTGGTTACCCAATAGGTAAATTTGTAAAATTTTTTTTTGATATATAAAATAAATTTCAGGTTTGTTTTATTAATTATTATTATTATCTAGAAACTGCTATTGGTGTTCTTGAACTTAAGATTATATCTGCAAAGAAACTTAGAAATGTAGAAAGATTCGGCACTTCTGACCCATATGTGAAATTGACGATACTTGGTCAAGCTGAATTGGGTCGTACTAAAGTGATTGATGATTCATTAGATCCGGTTTGGGACGAAACTCATTATTTAGTACTGAAAACATTAAGCGAAGTCTTGAAATTTGAAATATATGATGCTAATGAATTCACCGCAGACAAACTTTTAGGAATCGCTACATTTTCTTTAAATAGCTTAATTGATAATCCGGAACAAAATCAAGTGTAATTTTTTTAATACTTTGCTCTTTAATTTTCATTTGAAATCCTTATGGTTGGTTGATATTTATGATATTTATAATATTTATAATAGTACTGCACAAGTTTTATTTGAGGGTAAACAATATGGAGAGATTTTGTTCAATGTTAGATGGTATCCTGTGGCAGTGGCAAAAGAAGGAGAACCTGTTCCTGATTCTAGTAATGTTAACAATATTTTTTACTGTTTTTTTTTTTTTTTTTTTTTTTTTTTTTTTTTTTTTTTTTTTTTTTTAATAAAAGAACGCGAAATATTAATTTTTATATATATACATATATACATACATATTAAACAGATATTGGTATTTTACGTTTCACTATTCATCAAGCTAAAGATCTTAATCCAAATCTTTCTTTAGTTGGGCAGTATAATCCTTATGCAGAATTATTATTAAATGACAAACCAATCTTCAGATCGAAAACTTTGAAAAGAACGAATAATCCTATTTGGGAGGTAAATTATAGTGATAATAATATATATTGTTTATGTTGTATGAAATAATAATTTTTATTTTTATTTATTTGATAAAAAGGAACCTACCGAATTGTTTGTCACAAATAGAAAAGGCGCACAAATCTCTGTTATTGTTAGGGATTCACGTGATTTTTCTGTAGATCCAATAGTTGGAAGCTACAAGTGTAAATTGGGTACTATCTTGGAAGCTACAAGTGATAATGATTGGTTCAAGGTTCAAGATGCGCCACCTGGTAAATTAAGATTAAGCTGTCAATGGAAACCAGTATTGATCGAAAATCCTCATGTTGCTATAGATGGTATATATGGGTCAATCAATTATTTTTTGATTTTTTGATTAATTTGTTATTTTGAGCAATTAAATGTAACAAATATTTTTATATTAGCTGAACCTATCGGTATTGTCAAACTTCAAATTAAAAAGGCTGAAGATCTTAAAATATCAGGAAAATTTAATGGTAATTACTCTTTTGTGATTTTGATAATTATTAAAGTACAAATATAACAAATATATATATAAATATAATATTTAGGCAAATATAATTCATATGTCCGGTTATCGCTTTCATCAAATCATATTGGACGAACTGTGGCGATTAGTGGCACACAAAATCCAGAGTGGAATGAAAATTTTTATATTCCCGTACATTCCGAGAAAGAAATTATATCAATACAAATTTTACATGGTGAACCTAATGACTCTAAAGATAAAAAGATTGGATTTGTTGAATTTGATTTGAAAGATTTGATTAAAGTTAATGAAGACAAATATGAAGCTGAAGGTGTCTTTGATACGTAGGTGCAACTCTATTTTATTTTAATAACGTCAATAATAATAATATCAATAATAATATCATGATTTTTATTGATAGATCCAAAACTATTAATGATGAATTGGGAGGCACTATTTATTATTCAGCCAGTTTCCATCCAATCATTCCCCTTAATAATGTGACTATTACAGAAACGGAGAAAAAGGTCGATTTAGCAGAGCAAACAGAAAGGGTCGAAGTAGTTGAAAATACTAATGTTTTGAATTATAGTAAGTTGCTTTTTTCTTTTTATTTTAAGATAAAGTGAAGGATAAAATAAATTAATAAAAAATTTTTTTTTAAAAAAGCATCTGGAATTTTAACTATAAAATTTGTTCAAGCTAATATTGAAAAAAAAGATATATCATTGGAATTATATGTAGATAATGATGAATTCCCTGTTTACAATACAAGTCGTTCCAGATCTTCGAATCCTTGTTGGAATGAAGGTGGTTAACATTAAACATTTTTTATTATTTAATAATTGTAATTTATTATTATATCTTACGGGACTTTTGATTTTAGTTGCTAAAATTTTTGTGAAGGAACTTGGGTATTCCAGAATTAGATTATATGTCAAATCAGGAGAAGGGAAAAGACCAATTGGTACAATTGTACATGATATCAAAAAATTAATTGAAAATTCTCAATCGTCAACAGATGGCAGTTGGTTAAAAGCTCCTGAACTAGAAAATGCCCAATTTAATATTTCTGTGAATTATCTTCCCGTAAAATATGAATTGGATCCTTCTGAAAGTTTAAAAAGTAAGTATTTTATTTTTATTTTTTAATCGAAGATAGCTATAATTACAATAATTACGATATTTTTGTTTTTATTTATTATTAAGATATGGGTCGGTTATCAATAACCATCAATAGCGCTAAAATATTAGAAGAAGTTTGTAAATCAGGTAAACGTTATATATGTATAAAAAAGATTGGATATTTGGTTAAATATACACATCTATTTCTTTTTTACTAAATAAATATAATTGCAATTATAGGCAGTATTGACGCATATTTATTTTTTATACTTAACGGCGAAAAGATTTTTAAATCAAAAACAATTAAGCAATCATTAAATCCTGTTTTTGACGAGAAATTTGAAGCAAAAATTGTAAGTCAAGAGATTCAAAGGCTTTTTTATAATTATAACAACGATAATAATTTAATTCTTATTACTTATTACTATTTTATTTTTGATATAGTACTCGCTTAATAAAGCAAATTTTGAATTGGAGGTGATTGATTGGAATCAAATTGCAGCAGATGAGAAATTGGCTGTTGGAAAGATTCCAATTGATGATCTTGAACCAACCAAACTAACAGAGAAAGAGATCCCTATTACTAGTATCAAGGATCCAAAAATTTCATATGGAACTGTTTATTTGGAATTATTATTTACGCCTGATTTTTTGGACAAAGAAACACGACAAAGAGGACCTATTAATGGAGCAAAAAGAACTCTATCTGGAATTGGTAGCACGGCCATTTCAGGTGGAGATAAAATCCTTAACGCGGGTAGTAGCATAGTTGGTACAGTAGGTAGTGGAATAGGGTCAGTAGGTGGTTTTTTTAATAAAAGAAATAGTGGTGGTATTGATCCACATAAAAATGGAGAAGTTACTTCAGGATCTATAAATCCCGAGTTAAATGGTAAATCTTAAAAAAAAATATAATTATAATTTCTTATTTAAACAATGGACATTTATTTATTTGTTAAAAAGTCTAGGAAAAATTTGTGTGTAAATATATATATACTTATATTAATAAAAAATGATTATAGGATCTAGAAAAAATTCAACTAAAAGTGTTAATCAATCGGAAGGTAATTATTTACGATAAAAATATGTGTATACGAGTAGAGATTAATATTGATATTGATATTTATTCATTTGTGCAAAATTTTATTCGTTCATTTCAATTTCGTTTTATTTGTCTGTTATAAAATTAAAAATTTTTTTATTCACAAAGAAAATATTGGTATACCTGGTACCTTGACATTATCTATTCCTGAAGCGAAAGAATTACTTCCTACTAATAAAAGCGGTAATTAATATATGCAATTATATGCGAACGAATATATGTAGATATTATATTATGATTATGATTAAAAGATGGAATTTTGTTTATAATTTAGGCTTGAGTGATCCTTATTTCAAGGTTAAAATAGACAAAAAACAGATATTCAAATCTGATGTGATAAAGAAAAATCTATCTCCTCAATGGTAACCAATATATATATATTCTTTTTTTTTTGATCATATTTTTACCAATATTCTTAATAATATTACAGGAAATCTTCAAAAGTTCAAATTCCAAATATAACTGGTGGACCAATAACATTACATATCTTTGTTAAAAAACATCATCTAGTTGGTAAAGATGAAGATATTGGAGAGTATGATTTGAATTTGTGGGAACATATTAAACCAGGTGCCTTTACAGAAGATACGTGGGTAAATTTAACAAAAGTTAATCGCGGTAAATTACATATTAAATTGGATTATAAACCAAAAGATAATTGATTGATTGATTTATAACATTGTATATAAAAAGACTGAAATAATAAAATTTTAAATTGAACATAAAAACAATGCAAGTCACTTGTCGCTGAACCAAAATGGACTGATCTACATAATCAACAATTTTATTTGTTCTTTCTGTTCCCTCGAATAAGCCAATAAAAATTAGGTTTGATCGTGTAACAAGGATTAAATTTGGAATTTATCGCGTTTAAGGGTACACAGTACAGTCAGACTCCTATATAGTCACGCACCTTGGGACCATAGTGAAATTTCAAGAATTTTGGTGACTATAGTGTTTGTGACTATACAGGACATGTTTTTACTATGATTAATTAGTAGCAAGGAATTTTTCAAATTAACAAAAAAATGTGACTATACTATGTTGTGACTATATAGGATGTGACTATATAGGAGTCTGACTGTATATCATTTAGAAATGGATGCAAAATATGTCGATCATTTGAAACCACAACATGATTAACATTCAACGCCTTTAATCCATTTAATATAACAACAAATATAATTTATTCAGATATATGACCATTTGTTATTATAATTTGTCATTACAATTTGTCATTACAAAATAGATATATTACATTGACCTATTGATAATTATTTATACCCTTTAGCAAAAACAGCCAAGCATTGTGGTTGTCCAAGTTTAATGATATTTTACTAATTTATTACTTTTTCCATGATCTAATTTTACTATTTCAGGAATAATTGATAATGCTTTTATATACAGTTGACAAATCAATAATAAAGTAATACTTATCTTATTTTTACATTTTACAAATCACATAAACCACATAAATATTTGATATGTCCAAGATCTTGAGCTTAGGCGAATGAATTAATGAATAAGAGCCACAAGTGAGTGGGTGAGATCCTTAATCTTCAACCATAAATCACCAATCTAACTTTATTGTTGGATAAATTGTAATTAAAAAATTAATAATACTTTGCAAATATATAATGGAAGCCTGCATGAATAATTACTTGAATATCTAAACATTCCAAAAAAAGTTTCTTACTAAATTGTTTGCTCATGTAAAGAGTTTGTAGTTGATGTTAAAAGCTAGTAATGATTCATACCAAGGTAGTCTCATTTCTATACATACATACATACATACATATATAAAAAACATATACATTAGTAAAAACTTGCATTCTTTAGTAAAAACTTGAAGTGTAATTTTATTAATCTGTAGTAACCAAAGTAAACTAAAAGATTATTCATTTAGTTTTTCTTAATTTAACAAAAACATATAGTGCATGTTAAGGATTGGTAACTTTACTTATATATAGGATTGGCAACTCATCTTGAATCTCAAACTATTTATTTTACTTATTAATTAAACTGAGTCTAAAATTATATTGTTTTGATAGCTTGTGTCCTCAAAAATATGTTGGAAAATTTTTGTACATGTTAGATGAAGTCACATGAACTTTTATATGTACAAACCATTTTTTTTACACCAAATTTAAATTTTTGCCATATGTTATTATGTGTAACGAACTCTTAAGCAAGCATAGCAATTGATTTCAATTTTTTTTATACAGTTTAAAATAATTTTGCAAGGGTATCATGTGTAAATAATTACACAAACTTGAAGCTTTACACTTTGTTGTTATCATATCTTTTGAATCCCTTTGAATCTCACAACTTTCATAATACATTTTACTCAAAGAAAAATTGCCTGAAATTAAACATTGCACAGAATGTAAAACCACTAAATCAGCTAAATTTCATCAACGAAAGGCAATAAATGGAAAGAAGCTGAGAACAACAACTTAGTGAAAGTAACATGTTGTTTTATGTAACATTTGTTATATGAATTTTGTAGAAAATCTTTTAAAAAGAGAACCTAGGAGATAAAAACCACAGATGCGGAAGGGGAAGAGGTAAGTGAAAAGATTAATTGCTATAAGAAATAGAACCAAGCTTGAAGGAGTTTTTTGACCAACTCTATTTAGCAGCTCGGCCATTTTAGTGTTCATGTGTTATCTTCTTGTTTTAAATAATACAAAATTAACTCTTTTAAGTTCAACCTTGCATTCTATTTAGACTCAGTAGATACAAGTTTTGGAGTAACTACAACATCAAGAGCAGTAGATCATAAAAAGAAGCAAGTTGCAGATGAACATGAGAAATGCACTTACAAAATATTTAAAAAACACATTCTTGTTGAATGTTGACAATTATCATAGATTCACATCCAGTATCCTTTAATACTAAAACAAACTTTTTTTACAATTATGTATAATGTGATTACACTAATTATATTAATTTGATTGTAGTTATTGCAATCATTGTCTACAAAGGTGTCAATCTAAATGTTTGATATCATGGACTATCTTCAAGTCAAAATAAAAAAAAATGCCAACTAAGGTTGCAGGAGAAACTCCTCCAGAAATCAATCGACAGAGTTTTGACAGGTTACACATTAATTGTTTATTAGA